ACCAGCAAGACACAAATGCAAGAGTGTATGAATTTAAATGGGTAGGGTAGATTTTTATTCTGCAGCAAAACGTACTTTGTATCTAGAGTGAATGCCTAAATAACTAGGTTTACTTCTTGCTAGTTCACTGATTCATTTCTAAAGGGGATCAAGAGTGGTGCCATTTGTGGTATAAAAGAATGAGTAAAGTTTAGGTTCAAAAAGAAAATGTTATCAGATTCTTAAATACTTTAAAGAAATGATCCACTATGACAGCAAGCAATTAAAAGATGCCAATATAAAAGTTTACCATAAGTGAATGTTATGATACAAGCAAATAATTAGTTGTGTGCAAAACCAAATGGTACATATTCAGAATGTTCCAGGAATGGACCATGTGTTGTGGTCTGCCAGCGGCCTGCAGAGCTGGCAGCAGAGTCAGGCAGTGGGGAGGAACATGGGCCAGTTCTAGAGTCTGGGGAGGGCACAGAAAGGGGGCCAAGGCCATCTGAGAGTTATGTGCGGACTCCAGAGCCTCCAGAATCTGACATCAGCAAGGCAGAGGAACAGGGGGAGCTGCTTCTCAGTGCATGCTTGTGCAGAGCTGCCAGAAGGCAAGAACAGTTAAGACAAAAGGGTGACTCGGGAGTAAGACTTGGAGATGATTGGCCCCTCCCATAAGACATAAAGGAGGAACAAAAGGACATGAGCCTTTGCAGGAAGCAACTTTGTTCATTCTGGTCAGTTTAAAATCTGAAGCTCTGTTGACTTTGTGGTTGACTTTGTGCTCCGTTTGGTCTTCTACAGCTAATTGGCAATTTAGTCATTGGCAGCATTTCAAGGGAGATAAGGTGGGTGCTTATCAGCCTTATCCCGAAAGACTGTGACAGATTTCTGTTGGACTATTCATAAATTGTTTGGGACTCAAAGGTTTTGGGGAACAGCATGTGATTGTTACTGTCTCAGGAAGGCTTGGTCAGAACACCATGCTAGTTTGCATATCTCTTTCAAGTTACTGGATCTATACAAAAAAACTACAGTGATAGGACAATGAATAAAGAAAACAAATGTAAACATACCTCAAAGGGATTCAGATTAAAATAGGAGGAACCAGGCCTAGTGAGCCTTTCAATCTGATTTTTTGAAGTTAAAACAGAATCTCGCCTTTCAATTTGCTTTACCTGTAGAAATTAGCATATCATTAATAATCAGAACTGTACCAGATAATTGTGGGGAAAATAGGAAGTGGAAGATGTGTTGGGTAATAAAAGGTGGGATACAAATAAAAATAAAAATTGGGTTAATCCAAAAAGCCTCAATGCATTGTGACAATATATCTTGTGAACTGAGCTAAAGTTAGCTAGATTAAGGCACAACACTGACATGAACAGCTAAATGCACAGGAAAATGTTGGGAATTCAACCCATTTGGAAGACACTGTTATGGAAGACTATGATGTACACTTCATTGAGAGTGACTCAATGAATTATATATGTTGAACAAACCCAACTGAATTAAATCATTGAATAAACATAACATAGAATTATATAAACGTGTCCTATTATTTTCAGTTTATTTCACATTTCAATAGGGATGTCATTATCGATACCAGAAAATCATTAGATTGCAGTAGAGAGACAGATAACCTAACTCTTTGCTACAATCTATTGGTGTCCAAACCAAGTTATGATTATATATGCAACAGGATAAAATATGTTATTACCGTTGTGGCCTTTCTCCTCTTTGGAAGTTTTCTAAGAAGCCATGCTGGTTGAACTTGATATAATGTTTAATACAAAGAAACACAAAGATAGGGCAAAGTGTAACAGAAAGGCACATTTAGCCCCATGCACACTTTCCAAGATTTGAAAATCCACCATTTTTACAGAATGGGAATCTATCTCAAAAACAAACAACCTGACATTGTTCTTTTAATACCGTTGACTGTACTAATCAATGAAGTGATTAAATTACAAACCAATTATATTATAATCCTAAAGTTGTATCCAATGAGATTTGATTGGAAAGAAAAAGTGAACCAATATCAACACAAAAGGACGTGTGAGAGATCAGCAGAAAACAGAAAAGGAAGAAATGAAAGAGCAGGAAGATCAGCACCAAAGAAAAGAGTTGAAAGTATTACGCAGTTGGGAACCACTGAAAGCATTAGAGACCACAGTGGCTTGTGCCAAAGTCCCCAGAACTTGCACAGGTGACTGCAAATGTTAATGTGTGACTATATGTGATTCATATATTTCTGATCAAATACCTGTCTTGCACACAAAGAAAGAATAGGGATCAGAATTAAAGCTGTCACTCCAAGAAAATGCAGCAGCCCGCATGGCTTTGTGCAGATCCTGGTGTGCACATTTCACCTCTCCTGCGGGAGCTGCATTGGTTGCTGATTTACTTCCAGGTGCAATTCAAGGTGCTAGTTGTCACATTTAAAGCCCTTCATGGCTTGGGACCAGCTTATCTGAGGGACCGTCTCTTGCCAGGCACATCTACCTGACACATTAGAGCGGAGAGGCAGGGAATACTGTGGGGTCCCATCCCTGAGGGAGATACACCTGGTGGGACACAGAAGAAGGGCCTTCTCCGTGGTGGCTCCCTCTCTCTGGAACATCAACCCCCCCCCATATTAGAATGGCCCCCTCTTTAATGGTCTTCCGGAAGGCACTGAAGACCTGGTTCTGCCAGCGGGCCTGGGGAACCCAGAGCGGGATGGAGCCCATCAAATGGCTCTTGTGATCTGCTGTCATTGGGGTGGGGGGTGGGAGTTGGGGGGTGATTTTTTTATTTATTTTTTTCCCAGATTTTGTTCTATTGTACTTTATTATTTGATTCTTTTTGTTATTTTTGTTATTTTTTTTAATTTTAAATATGGTTTTACATTCTGTAAGCCGCCTCGAGTCACCATGGGCGAATAGGCGGTAATATAAATTCAATAAATAAATAAGTAAAAAGAATTTGATATAAATAAGAAAACTGGCTGGCAATCAGTGCTCTGTTCCTCTCCAGTGAGTGGATTCCCTTGTCTCCTTGCCCCTTTCTCGTTTTCTACCTAATATTCCATTATAATAGACTCCCCACCAATTGTAATCACGGCAGGGACCGGCCCCGAGTGCCCGTCAGACTACAACTTTCATCTTCCCCAGCCAGGGTAACGAACGGCGACGAGGAAAGCAAAAAAAAAAAAAAACCCGAAAGGCGACAAGACAGCTTGTTTGTTTGGGCCTGGCAATAGACCGCGCCTTAAAGGCTCCTTCACCACCACCAACGCTTCTCCCACCCTCTCAACCCGAAGGGGCCGGGAAAAGAAGAGCCGAGGGGGAAGGGAAGCCCGGCGGCCAACCGGCATCTATACAGCAAATCCACCCAAGGGAAAAGCCCAGCCCGTCTAAAGGAAACCACGACAGGCCCAGCCCCTCTGGGATCAGCCGAAGAGGCCCAGAAGGACAAGGCGTCCCTCCGGGCTCCCGGGGAAGGAGGCGGGCTCGCCATACCTCCGTGTAGAAGGTAAGAAACGCCTCCTCAGCCGAACCCTCCGCTTCTCGCTCGCCCGGGGCCGCCATTTCTGGTACCACGTGACCCGCCGCGCGCCCTTCCCACCTGATCGGGACCGAGTCCGCCTGGCCGCCGGCACGTGACCCACAACGTCTGCTTTTCCGAGGGTGGGGGGGATCTCTTAAAGGGCCAGAGCGCCGAGGCTGGGAGGCACAACAGAACTTTTTTTTCCCATAGCTTTTTTTTTTAATATTTCCCGCAAGGACTCATAGTCCTTTCCCTTCTCTCTTCTTTTATACTCCGCTCTAGTGTTTTTCACAACCTTCTTCAAATTTGAGCTGCGTGGACTTCACTTCCCAGAATGCCGTGTTTCGGGGTTCCAAGGAAAACCAAAAAGTCCTTTTGAAAAAGCATCTTTTGGGACAACCGTGACCAAGATAACTGGGGATCTCCGCAGACACACCGTTTAAAGATGCTGAGGTTGAGAAACTCTGTTCTGCACCCTCCTGTGGGGCGGGGTAAACTTAAAGGCAAAGCTTTGTCTTAATCTCCACCCCACAACCCAGAGTTTCACTAGGTAAGAATTTCAAGCTGGATCTCTTTCGTTAAAAACCCTCAAACGTATTGTTGGTCAATATAAGCACCCCTATCCGCATAATATTTTCAATGTATGTATAGTGCCCCTGTTATACTACTGAAAACACATGCTAGGGTTATATTGACATGGACTGTTGACCCATTGTGTACTGAAAAAAATCATATGAGTAATGGATCGTGGAAGAAACTGGCTCAAATGTTGGAGTCTTCCATCCTGAAAAAATATGGAGACTACCCTGAAAAAATAAAAGCAAATTATGAGATAGTTGTGATAAACCATTTGATACACACTCATCAATATCCCTCCGGGTCTTTTTTGCACCATATGCTTACCCATTGATAGTGGTTAATCCAGCTGTTTTATCAGATTATCCCAGTTTTCCAGATAACATAACATTGATCCATAAACCAGCCATACAGATTCTCGCGACATAATGAGCTAAAAAGTGCTTGATGCACTTGTAACTCAGTCTGTTGCAGTTTTTCCTTTGGTGCGTGGTGGAAACGCAGGACCCCAAAACCAATGAAGATCGACTTGCTAACAGAAAGACAACCCCTTGCAAGCAGACCACACAAGACTAATTTAATTATTTTTCAAAGATTGAAAACAATCTCATCGTTCAAAAACGAGGAAAGATTAAGATTCTTTAATAGGAAAAAAAATACACTATAGCTACTGATTAATAAGTTCACCCACTACATATTTCTATGTTTACAGTCAATGTCAAAATTATCCCGGAAAAACCAATAGGGGCGGATCCTTTTAGGTCACGCCTCCCCATAGACAAACCTGCCCTAGAGCAGCTCCCTGGGACGACGGAAATTCAAAATGTGAACGACTAGCCTCTATAGTTCCTGCGCAGCTCCGATTGGCTTCGTTCTTTTCCCTCTCCTCCTCCGATTGGTCTGCGCTTCACTTCGCCCCGCCTTTTCCTCCAGGAATCAGACACACCCACCGATCCACCTCCAAGGACAGAGTTGAGATGGCTGCTGTTGGTGCGATTTTCAGGTCTGGGTTGCGGGGAGCGATGGCTTTACCTCAGCAGCAACGGGCCTGGAGCTCGGGCCCCGACCAGGTACCGTCGGCATCGGTGGTCTGTCTGCAGGGCCTCCGGGGCAGCAGGGCCTGTGGAAGGTCTTCGCTGAGAAGGGGAGGCGGGCGGGTCTGAATTGGTGCTGGAGGCTAAGGCGGCGGCGTCTAACGTAGGTCTCCTTTTTTACCCCCTCCTTCCTGAGCTGGGTGAGCTCGGCAAAGGCGCTGGAAAAGGCGGGGGTGGAGGTGGATCCATCCGTGAAGCTGGTGGCGCATTTGGAAAACGGGAAGCGGCTGAGGAGGAACGCTACTTCAAGTATGGTTATGCCTGGATTCACACGTTACACCGAACGTGAAGCACGAGTTATAGAGCAAGTGGATTTACCCCGAATGGAATGTCACGCCAGAACAAGAAAAACAGATCAGGGTTGAACATTAAGACCAGGGATCTTCAAACCTGCCCGCCTTAAGACATGTGGACTTCAACTCCCAGAACTCTGGGAGTTGAAGTCCACAAGTCTTAAGGTGGCTAAGTTTGGAGAGCCTTGATTAAGCCCTGGTTCACACTGGCTGAAACAAGGGTTGGGCTCCTGTTTTATCCTCACCTAGCTAGAGTATTCTGCAGATTCACCCATACTGAATTTTAGTGACTTTTTTTTAAAGATTTAGTTACACATTTTTAATTTCTGACCTGCTTTTTCTTCAGGAATTAAAGATGGGATGCAATGCATTTCCACTTCTGATTTTTTTTTTTTTTTTAGTAATAAGAATGAAAATGTTTGCCCCAGACTCCCTGGTGTGATAGCAGATTTGCTCTCCCTTGCTCCACAGCTGCATTTCCTCTCATGTTACACAAGAGTCTGATATATAAATATTATGGGTGACAAGGCAGGTTGGAAGATCCAAAGTCAAGTTAGGTCTTCCTTTAGTAATGGTGATATGCAGATACAGCCATAGTCCTTTGGCTGTGAAATGAGAGGGATTAGCTCTGACACAGCAAATAAAGAGTATGCAAACTAATTCCATGTGGTTGTCAAGAAAATATAAATGTGTCCAGGTAGCCAGCTGATAATTCATCTCAAGGGGACACTGGACTTTATTTTGGAGCCAAACATCTTCCAGTCAACCCTATCTCACAGTTGTGATAAAATTGGGATTGGGAGACATGTAGATTGACTTCATTTTTGGAAGAAGAAAAATCATTCCTGTTTTATAAATCATTAAATGGTACTTAAACTCATAAACTTCACTAATTCTGAATCTGGTTTCTGCTATAAAAAGTTGTAGGCCTCTCATAATCACTTCTGTAACATGGGAGATATCAATTTATTTGTATGGATTTATTTTAAGGATAAAATCTAGAATATGCATGTGAATTGCTTTAAACACCTGAACAAAGTGAAAGATCTAGAGAAGTAACTATTAACTATTCATACTGCTTTATCAAATGGGAACATATTTCTCCCATTTGTTTCTCCCTTACTTATTCAGAGGGTAACCCAGCTGGCATCTCATACAAGTTGTGTTAGATAGATTTGGGGGTCTCCTCATGCTCCAGTTATTGCATTTCATGTCCATCCAGCCAAATATTCCCCCAGCTAAATCCCTGAATGCTTTATATGCTGAAAAAGCAATTTTACTTAAAGCAGAATATTTTATGGAATTTTGAACAGCAGACTTGAACTGAAATGTTTTGCATGCCCAAATTATGAGGAACGGGAGAAATAAGCCTCAAGTTTGTAAAAGGAAAGGTGAAATATTCAATAGCAAATAACTTAAATCAAATTATTACCTTTCTAAATGAGCCAGGCCACTTTTATATTAATGTGTTTGCTTATTAGCAATGGGATAACTGTGAGGTAGATAGTCATTAGTAAATGTTGTAAGGACTGCAATTTGAAGTGAAGAATTGTGCCATTATTTTTCATGACATTTTAGCTGAGGTTTGAATGAATGACAATTATAGATTATTTATTCTATTATTTTTGTAGGGAGAGAGAGAGAGAGCAGTTGAAAAATCTAAGAAAACATCATGAAGAGGAAATAAGTCACCATAAGAAAGAAATAGAGCGTCTGCAGAAAGAAATTGAACGTCATAAGTACAAGATCAAGAATCTTGAAGATGATGATTAAGTTGCTGCTATTATTGACATGGTATCTGGTATCTTGTTTTGAAAATGGTCCCTGTGAATACCCAGGATTTGATTCTTACCATAGTGTGAAATAAACAATTCACTCGTATCTTCATTGTCAGTGTCTTCTCTAGAAAATATTTTGCACCTACATAATAATTATGGATAGGTATTTCTTGAATCATGATTTTTGAGAGGAAGAAATGTATGATTAAAAATTTGCCAGCTAAGTATCAGTATTTTTTCTATTGCTTGAAAGTATATTCTTACAGTGTCTTCTCCACAAGGATGGATAATTGTTCTTGTCCAAAGCAAGTTGAAGGAATTGAGAATTTTTTTTTTTGGGGGGGGGGGGTGAATTACAAAAAAAAACTTTTTTGTAGTTCTTCGGGAATTTCCTAAAGGACTAGGAAATGATGTAATCTAACAAATATGGCAGATAGTTTAGCCATCTGATATAATGAATTTTAATACTAGGCTAGTTCATGTACAAAGTAAAGCTTAACAATATTCTTGACTATGTAGAATTTTGTATTCTGTTCTGATAAAAATGTTTAACAATATTAACAAATCAGAACTTTAAGAGTAAGTTGTGAGCACATTTAACTATCATCTTCAAGGCTGTATAATTCTACTGGTACATGTAAAATGATCTTTCATGTTACAGAAGTTTATTTTTATATGTGGAAATAGTAATCATTGGGGCACAATAGCATTCAAGAATTATTAGCAGTTATACTTAGTTTATCAGCATGGAGGTTAAGAAATGGGGTGGGGGGGGGAAATCAGTCCTTGTCATAGTGTAACTCCAAAGAGAAGAAAGGTGATGGAAAGTCTAAGGTTTCTAGACAAGATGGGCAGCATAAAATCTAATATCTTAACGAAATTCAGAGGAAAAATTAACTGGAATATCTTACATTTTAAAGCCCAAAACGATAATCCAAAATGGAGATTACAAATGGACTTATTTTGCAGATAAAACACGGTTAACAAAATGCACAGTGATTCTAAAAAATTGATCAGAAACACTATTTTAATACAATTAATAAATTAAAATATGGATCCAATCTGTCATTAGGATACACTGATGAACACAACATTATTAAGGAAAGATTACAGCCTCATTAGATTTTATCCCACCCTCCTCTCTACACACATACATATAAATCAAGGCAGTATTTAATAATCCTGCATTGTATTTCCCCACAACTTTGCAAGAAAGGTTGGATTGAGAATTCCCAACTGGCTTTCATGGGAGACCTAAAATTCAGTGTCTCCTGGCTTCTTAGCCAGCACTTCCATCGATACATCATACTATCCAGTGGGGTTTACTTCCTAATAAATGTATTTAGGATTGTAGTTTCAATTTGAAGGTTTTTCTAGAACGGGTCTCCAACCTTGGCAACTTTAAGCCTCGGGGACTTCAACTCCCAGAATTCCCCAGCCAGCAAAGAAAGCAAAGCTGGCTGGGGAATTCTGGGAGTTGAAGTCCCCCAGGCTTAAAGTTGCCAAGGTTGGAGATCCTTGTTCTAGAATAAAAACGAAAGATTCGCTTGCCGAACGAGAGACTGCACAGAACGACAATAGAAGTCATTTTTTCTTTTTTTTGTATTATGTCTATAGAAGACTAGCTTGTCAAGAACTCTGTCAAATTTTGGCCACGAGCTTTCTCCCATGAAAGAGAAATTTTGGTAGCCAATTAAGGCTGAAGTGGTTAAATCCAGGTTCCCTCAGGTATGAATTCAGGTGTGCTTGGAGCGGGACAATAGAAGGAAAACCACCCTCCGTTTTAAGAGAAAATCCCGGCTTTTTTCTTTCCTTCGCTCCGTTTCGACCTTACCAAGCGCGCCAGAGGTTTTCTCGCTTCGGCGGATTGGCCAGACGGCTCCCTCGGCCCGATTGGCTAGAAAAATCACGGTCGGGTCCAGCCTCCCGGCGTCGATAGGAAAGCAGGTCCGTCCTTCCGAAACCCCGCGTTCCGATTGGCCTGCTGAACTCAGTCCCTGGAAACAGTTCCGGGAAACCCCTCGCGTTGCCGGGATCGCTCTGACCGTCCATGAGGGGAGGGAAGAGGAGGAGCGCGCGCCATTTGCAGCCCCTGCTCCAGCCGCGCCGCGCAGGTCCCGCTCCGGTGAGTCTTGCCAAGGACGCGCCCGGCCGAGCCAACCCGGCGGCGGCGGCGGAGGTGGCGGAGGCGGTGGCAACAGCGACGGCGGCCGCGCGTGTGTCTTGCGTCGGGTGAGGAGGAGGGGGGTGGGCGGGGAAGCGGCCGGCGGGGCGAGGCCCAGGCGGCGCTGCGGCGGCGCTCCAAGAGCCTTTTGTGGCCGCATCGCGCCTGCGGGTGCGCCTGGGCGAGGAAAGGCCCCGCTTTAACCGAGGGGGTGGGGGTCGGCTTGATCACCGCGGGCTGGGCCTTAGGCTGCCACCGGGGAGCGAGGGACAATGAATGGCCGGCCTCCTTCCCGCTTGGGCCTCGCCCGGCTTGCCAGCTTCACCTTGATCGGAGGGAGGGAGGCGACTCCGCACATTTGGGAGGGGAGGCATTGCTTCTTCTGACGGGGTCGTCCCGTTAACCGCCGGGAAACAGCCTCGGTTTCTGCCCCCCGCTCTCCTTCCGCGGCGAAAGGCCAGGTAAAAGCATTGCCCTGCGGAGGCTGCAGTTACCGGATTGCTTTGGAAGCCCGGTGGAAGTCAGCGGGCCGAAGGGTAAATAATAAACACGCGAGGGGTGGACGGATAGGATGGCAAATCTTATAGGCGCCGGTTTGAGATCGGTGGGCTCGTCTTGGCCGGTAACTCTTCGGTGTAGATCGAGCTCGTAGGACGACGGCGTTGAAGCATTGATTTCCGAAAAAAAATAAATACAAAAATTACCAGTGGCTGCAACGTGCTATTCCCTCTCACCCCCTTGTTGGAATCTCTGATGCGGCTTTCAGTTTTTAAAAGGCTGCGGGATACCGTTTAACAGTTACTTTTCCACACGCCCATCTCTGGTAATGAATAATCTGAAGTTATTTCAGTGGGTTGTTTTTTCCCCCTTCCATGCTGTCAAATTGGGAATGGACAGAAGGTGAACAGATGATAATGCTGGTTCTTGAGGAAAAGGCCAGAAGGTTAAAAGTTGCTTCCAAAAAATGCTTATCATTTGGACAGCGCTGGGCTTATTTAGCATAGAGATTCCATAGATACAGATAGAGATAATCAGAGTTGGAAGGGACCTTATAGGTCATCTAGTCCAACCTCCCCCCCCCTCAAGCGAGAGACCCTACACCATTTCTGACAAATGGCAGTCCAATCTCTTCTTGAAAGTCTCAAGTGATGAAGCTCCCACAACTTCCCAGGGCAACTTCTGTTCCATTGGTTGATTGTTCTCACTATCAATTTCTCCTTATTTCCAGGTTGAATCTCTCCTTTCGATTGAGTTAAGTTTCTTCTGTGTGTAATATTGTAGTATGGTGGTATAGTGTTGGATGAGTTGTTTTAAGTTTACATCCCTACCGGTATTTATTTCACTCATGTAGTGGTAGTGTAGAGTTTAAAGATGATACCATAGAATGCTTTGAAGGCTATATATTTGTAGGAAATAAGGTTACACATCAGTCAATGGTTTCAGTAGAGTTTCCATACCTTTACTGTCTAATCCTGCCATTTTAAAGCAGAGAATAATGACATAGTTTTTGAAATTCTTGTTGGTGAAATTTTAAGACCTTCTGTAAATCTTGAATTATGCAGTATACCTTTGGGTTCTAAACTTTCCATTTGGGAAACTTGAATAACTGAATAACTTCCTGCTGCCAAAATATTCCATATGTATTTTTTGGCAATATAGCTTATGCTTCTGCAGTTAATAGCATATACAGTACATCTGTATATGTGCGTTGGCAAAGCTGCAGCGGGTCCACTTTTAATTTAAATTTCCTTCATTTCTTCAAGCTATGTTGTCTTATGAGGATAAGTTAAATTAGGATTTTTAAAATTAGTATTGATTGATAGCTGTTTGGATTCTGTGGACAAAATAAGGACTTGTGGTATGCTTTCAACTTTATTGACTTGAATGCTGTTGGTTAAATTTTGAGGTAAATTAATGTAGGGTTTTTGCTAGCTTTCACAAAAATAAACTTTGTGTTATTTCGGTTGTCTTAGGACATGCGTTCATTTAAAGCCAAAGTCGAGCCATGCGAAGAAGCAATTGAGCTGGACAGGGTAGCAATTAGGGATGTAGTTCAGATAATTGAGAATAAGCCCCTTTTAATGTATTTTGAAAAGGTTATGTGTATGTTTTTATACAGTCTTGCACTGATGCAGTCAAAATTCCTGTTCTTACATCAGGACAAGCAACCTAGCAATCAGGCTGAATTTGTACAACTGAAATAGTGTGACTGGAGCATCAATGTTTTAGGGTGGGTTGCCATTCTTCATGTAACAATTGATAGGAATGTATAAAGTACAGAAGACATTCTTTAATTATAGATCTTTCAGGTGGCCTCGCAAAACAGAATTCACCTTGCAAACATCTTTTCAATATGCCACCAATTTTGTAGGATATAGTAGCACATAGATTTTGCTGAAGGATTGTAATAAGTGCAAATGCAGAAACAGAAGTGGAAAGCAGAATGACAACTAGTCAGTCTGGAGGATAGGATTAGTTTGCACAGGTGAAAGAAATGTAGAGTTTGGTATTATAAATGAAGCATTCTCAGATTTCTTCAGTGTCCTGCTTATGCGTGTCTTTTCTGACATTGCACTGTACTCTGTCAAGTGTGGCACGAAGTGCAATGATTAAGTTTAGAACTTGGGTGAGAGGCAAACAGTGCCTGTCAAATGCAGTGAAAGAAAAGTCAGAGGTCTTGTCTGCATCTTGCCTAGTTTCCAGACTTTGGTGGTGTGTGTGTGTGACCAGATCATCCTTTAGCTATTTGTGTTGGGTGTTGCCAAAAGCAATGTGAAGTTAAAAGTTTGTGGAGGCGGGACAAATATGATAACAAAGTCATGAGGTGTGACAGCAACTGCTGTAGTTGGTGCAAATCCTGTTCTTCCATAGCAGAAGGCTGAAAAACTATTGTAATATATGTACATCTGCAGCTTCTGTAGATTTTAGTTGAAGATTTTTTAATGCTGATGGGTTAACATGATGCACTAATCAATATTTCTTTAGTTTTGGCATAGCATGCTGTATACATTCAGGTATAATAGCTTGTGAACCATGATTATTTAGTAGAGTGTGTGAACTTGGTTTATTTTTTATTTTTTGTAAATTTTATTTGAGTTTTCACAAAGAGAAAAAACAAACAAATAAAACATCTTTTTTGAAAGTAGCGTAATCCCGGGTTACATTTCTTCGTACAGACACAAATTCAGGTTCATGCTCATTTTTATATTCTATTCCATATCTTATTACTATTTTACATTTTCTGCAAAGCTTCTCCCCTCTTTTAATTTTCTCAATTTTATTTTAATTATCTCATCTCAATTCAAATCATTGTATTTATATTTTTTGTCTGTCCTGTTTCAATTATCTATTATCTTTTCTCATTAAACAAAATTTCTCCTGTAGTTACTGATTGGAGTATGACGCCTTTATATCTTTTCCCTAAAGTTGTAACATTCAATATAATATATAACTTCCATTCAGATTCTGCTTGGTACATTCTTAAAATACACACTGTATTCTTAAAAAAAGAAAAAATTATAAATGTACATAATTAAAACAACATTCCATTCCAATTCAATTCTATCATTAATATTAATATTCATTAAAGTCTTTAACATTACTTTTCATTTAAATATCATACTTCTATGGGAACAATTATAAGCTTTCCATAGTTAATTCCACCCCCCAACACTTATATTTTATAAAACATTAACTAATTAAAATGTTCCCGTTCCTTCCTAATTCAATTTTCTCATTTATTTTATTTCACTTATTTTATTCACAAACATTTCACTAAATTACACTATTTTATCCCTCATTTTAATCATACATTGTTTCCAATTTTCCAAAGTTATTTCTATTACTAATATAACCATACAATCTTGTGTACCTGTACAGAATCCCTTTTTCAGTTAGATTTTCACCCATTATCTCTAAATAGGTCTTATTTTTCTATATCTTGCTCCAGTCCTTTGTAACTTCTTTTCCTTTCCTTCTTCCCTCTCTTCTTCTTCTCTCCCCTTTTTACCCCCTTATCTCTCTACCTCTATTTCTCTCTTCTGCATTCCCCTTTTCTGTTGCTTTCCAGTATTATACTTATTTTTTGAGTTATGTTTCTTTGGTTGTTTTTTTAAGTCTTAAATTCTCCATTCTCTTCCCCCCCCCCCTTTCCTTTTTCTTCCCCACATAAAATTGCTTGTTCATTAAAGATGGCTTCTTCTTTGTCCCAGTTTTGCAGTCGTTTCTTGTTGTTTCTCATAGTTCCAAGAATTGAAAAACGAAGCCAAAATAACCCTTCCCTTCTTGTGCATCTTCTTTGTACTTTTTAAGTTCCATTTTCAATTCATCCAGAAGTGGTGCCATTGTATAAATTTTTAAACAACCACCCGATTGATTTTAGTCATTCAAATATAGATCACCAAATAATCCAAATACACTCAAGCTGTTTCTTTTTTGCTCTTTTTTTTCACTTTCTCTTCCTGGGGTTATTTAGTTGCAAAGTTTCAGTTAAAATGTATCTTTTAGAAGTCTTGTTGAAGTTTTACTGTAGATTCTTTTTAATTCCAGGCAGTCTCCTCCCTCTTCCAGATCCTGCCCTTATTCTTTTTCTCTCCCTTCCTGCTTATGAAAAAGAAAATTTTTAATGTCCAGAAATCTTTTATTATCCCTTTGGCATTTTGTTTTATTTTCAGCTTAATTACCTGTTGATGTCAAAGCAGATTTTTCCGATTTCTTATTTAAGTCTCTTAATTGTCAGTATAGGGGAGGAGAGAGAAGAAGAAAAAAAGCCAAACCTTTCCCTTTTCACTTTCCTTCGCTGCTTCCGACTCTTCTTTGGGAGCGATGTTATTTTTTGTAAGTTTAAATTCCAGGGTACCTTAGTTGTTGCTTTTACAATTTAACCCGGTCAGCCAAAATCTTCCTCCTGCACATTCTTTTCCGGTTGAGTTCTCCTTTGTGGTAGCCATTTCTGACCACCGCTGCAACTGCCTTCGGGAAAGGGAGTAATGGCCAGCTGAGGAGAGATGTGGCTCTCCTCAACCCTGCTGGCAGTCTCCCCCCTCTTCACCACCTCTATGGGGTGGCTTAGCCCCAAAACCAGCTGTCTCGGGGCGCTCCAGCGCCGAGCCCAGACAGAAACCGTGCACGATCGCGGATTTCTGTCTGTTGCCGAAGCCCTTCAAACCGGAAGACCTGAACTTGGTTTATTTAATATGGATTAGTGGAAGGGTATACTGATTGACAGAGGGGTTCAAGAGGTTTACACGGCTTTTAATGGCATATTACAGATCAATTCCAATGGCACAGACAAAAATTAAACTTGTTTTCCCTACATTTGCATTTATTTAAAATTAAGTAGAATTAATATTATTCCTCTGCATTCACTGGGGCTGCATGAGGTCTCAGTTATGTCTAAGAGTAATGTATCAATGAAGTTCAGTTACAAAACACAAGTAATCTGGGCTATATTTATGGAAACAGCACTGCAATTTAAATGTTTGAAGAATACTCTTGGTTATCTCATTTTTTTCTTCCATTCAATTGTGTCCTATTCTCTAGAGACTGCTGGACAAATCCCTGCAGTTTTCTTGGCAGTTTTCAGAAGTGGCTTGCCATTGTCTCTTTCCTGGAACTGAGCAAGAGGGACTGGCCCAAGGTCACCCAACTGGCTTTGTGCCTAAGGCCAGATTAGAACAGGCAGTCCCCCAGTTTCTATCCTAATGCCTTAACCACCACATCAAACTGGCACTCTCATTGTACTTGAAGACAAATTATATTTTCTAACAGAATGTGGAATCTGTAAGCCAAAGTGATAGTGAATTCCTACATATGGAGAGCACTAAAGTTCTGTGTGAAACTGATAATTCAGTGACCCTTAGATCTTTGGCACCTTCTGTCACCATGAGAACTAGTGTATTATGTGGTTAAGGTAGTGTTTCTTAATTTTGACAGCTTTAAGATGTGTGGGCAATTCTGGGAGTTGAAGTCCATCCATGTTAAAGTTGCCAACGTTGAGAAACACTGGGTTAAGATGTAGGATTAAGGATGGGAGGCTTCTAGTCCAGATTCTAGTCCACCTCAGTCAAAGAAACAGTGATTTGGACCAGCCATTCTCATTTAGCCCCACTTATTTCAGAGACTTGTTGGGAAAAATAGCAGAAGGGACTGTGTTCATTGTCTGGACTTCTGTGACAAAAAGTGAGATATATTAAATATGTAAGGCTTTGCTAATACAGTATAATGATGAAAGTAGTGCATATTTGTTAGAGACCGTTCTTGAGTTGCTTATTGCTGATATTCTATGCAAATTTGCTTTGATTATTGATTTAGATATTTGTTTTTCCCGTTTAAAAGAATCATAATAAGCAAGAAATATATACATGGAGGAGACTTTTTTGTAAAATTTAAGCAACATTTATTTGGTTCATAGGCTCTTGCCTTCCTGTTTTTATAGTGAGAGTAGTGGTATCTTGAGTTATTTCCTAATAAACCGGTATTCATATTCTAATGCTTCATACCAGTAAAACTTTGTAGACATTTGAATAAAGAATCTTCTAAATCTGTTTTAACATTGAGGAACTGTAATATGAATTGAGTGGACTGGTAGTTTTTTGAATGTGGTACTTATTAGTTGGGAAAAACTATCATTTCTGTCATAATGGGAGTTGTACTTCACATCTAGACAGCAGCAGTTTGATGAAGATTGTTTTAGAATAAGTACTTTTATTTTTTTCAGAGATTGCCTTCACTTTATTAGCATTGCCATTTTATTGTAGAAGAGACTTTAAAGGGCATTTCTGTCATTAGAACCCTTCCCTTAGTAGTTGCCATTGGGCTTGAATTTAAGCATAGCCTGTCTGTCTTGCTTTCTCCCCATATTTCTTCCCCCATAACTGCTGTTGATGACCTTGCTTTTTCCCCACTATGGGAGACCTCATGCCTTGGTTGTCTCTGGGTACCCAAGAGGGTATTCATCCTTTGCATATCGCTATGACTCTGCTCTTACAAGAAATAACCTTAATTATTTGTGAGAAATTGTTTTTCACTGTCAGGTACCCTCAAACTAATGGGATACAGATGTTATCTTAAGAGGTTATGGGAATTGTATTCCAACACACCTGGAAAGCATCAAGTTGGGGGTGCTTAGTATAAGACTCAGTGTAGCTTTTGTTGTGTAAATACATTGAATTTGGGTGACATGAAGTATACAAATTAAGGCTGTGATTTAAAACAGTGCTTGAAAGAAATGTAAGATTTTAATACAGAAGTTGGACATTTTGCAAAAATAGAAATTGATGATAATTAATATGCTCATAGTAGTACAGAATACTGATTTCTGCAACCAAAATTCATATTGTACTGCAAGTTCTGAGTTTTATGATTATGGATTACTAAATGATTTCTTGACATTGATGTAGTGGTTGTTTTAAAGCAAGCTGTAGTATGGGTTAAGTTTTTATTTTGACTTGCTTCTAATTATATTGAATTCTTCTTGGAGGAATGCCTTTAAATTGCATGAAATATATGAAGAGCTAGTTGTAGTATTCATAATTTAAAAACCTTAACCTTCATTCTGTATCTCTTGAATTGAATGTTTTAGTAAATTCATGGTTGTTCTCTTTCTGCTAATATGATACAGCCAACCTTTATCTTTAGCAGGGTTTATATTGCCTGTCTGTTGTGGCCGAATAACAAACCCCAGTTCAATGCCATCAAATAGGAATTAGAAAAATCTACAAAGATCATTTGAAAAGATAGTGTTTTTTTTAATTGACATTTTGTCATCTTATTTACTTTTGCATCAAATCTTTCCTATTGATACTAAAAATTGAAGGTGCAGCCTTTCCTTTAATCTCTAATATATGACATGCAGAGTTTAATACAAGTTCATCTTGTTGGTATGTGATGTGCAATTTGTCTATTGATGTTCTACTTGTGCAAACTTAATATGGCATATTCTTTTTTTCAAAAAAAAAAAAGTTCCGGAAATCAGTGTGTGTTGAAGCTGTATGGTGTGTCTTATGTAACAAAATATTGACTTTGAACATGGAAGGAAGCCAGAAAAATATGGGAAAGATGGAAAGCAAGTATTGATTGACATTTGTATATTTAGCTGGCCTTATAGAACTTTGTACTGAATACACTGATCAAAAACTTCTGTGAGGCCAAGGGAATAATGGCAGATATTTCCAGTATCCTTCCCCACTTACGATAATGTAAATTAATCACACAAAAATAAAAAATAGATTCTTTGTACATGAAGTCCTTAAAATTGTTCATTTTTCCATGTACATGCTCCACAATATTTCAGGACTGTATTTTCTGTTGAAATTAGGCGAGCTGTATTATAAAGGCTTTAAATAAAGAGTTAATGCAAGTCACTGGCAGTATGTTTACAGTTAGTTTAGATAAATGCATTGTCCTTCAAATTAGTTATTTCTGGCTTTATGTAATATAGCTCCTGAATTTTTTCCAGCAGCATAATAAAATGGCTAATCAGGTGAATGGTAATGCGGTACAGTTAAAAGAAGAGGAAGAACCAATGGATACTTCCAGTGTTACTCACACAGAACACTACAAGACACTGATAGAGGCAGGCCTCCCACAGAAGGTGGCAGAAAGACTTGATGAAATATTTCAGACAGGTATAATATGCATTTCTTGTTTCTGATTGGTTATAAAAGTGAAGGCAAAAAAATCAAATTTTTTAGGTTTTAAAGATGAAAACTGCTGTATTTTGCACTATGTAGCTTTGAATGTACTGCTGCTTTCACTTTGAGGTTGAATATATTGACAGTACCGTAGGTCTTTAGGACACTGTCACTGTTTCATAGACTCTCTCAAATAAAAGTGGACATTGCCTACTGAACTAACTTTTTTCAACATTACAATAATTTGCTTCTACTTTGCTACCATCACCAATTTATGGTGCTTAGGCTAAACATAGTATTTCAGTAGGTGGTCAGGAGGGGAAGTAGCTTGCTTGGCTTGCTTTGGGTCTATATGTTTGTCTATATCCTAGTGAATAGTTTTAATTTAAGTCATCATACTGAAGTATTTAGTTTTATGATAATTGTTTGAATTATATTTATCTTACTTGGAGCAAGTGGCTTGTGTATTTTAAAAAGAGTGAACACAAAGAATTTTAGGATGCACATACTTTTTTTACTGTGAAAAGAGACAATTTCTCTTCTTTAGTTTGTGTGGCGAATATATTTAGATAATAGAATTCCTTCATTTCCTTGCCTCAAATATTTCAGAGAGAAGATTTAATCTGTCTTCTTTTTCTAAAGTCCTAGAATGTTTTGCAAGTTTAAGATAATTCAAAAGAATACCATGTCTGTCTTTATTATGATGGTATTTTGACTCAGGTAGTAATGTCTCCAAAGACAGTGCCAATGAATGTCTGATAAGGTAGTGCTGTCTCCTCTAGAGTTGAACTAAGCTGATATAGTGGCTTGAGTATAGTTGTTCGAAAAGGGAATGTAAAGATATAAGTTCCTATTAAAACTTTACTGCCTGGTTTCAATATATTCATAGAGATGTATCTTCATGTGTAAAAATTAAAATTTTAACCCACTTGGGTGTGTTAATGCAGTTGGATACTTCTCATTTCATGCCTAGGTAATTAAAAATATTTTCATGACTTTTAATCATATGAGTTTTGTCCATGTACAAGTGACGCAGGGGCTTTCCACCATGCAGGATCAATTCTGAAATTGCAATCTCATGGCACTGCTGCTATATTTTGTGCTTTAGAGTAGGTGTTTCAGTATTAAAAACTTTAAATATTAAAAACACATATGTCATATTACTTGAAAGATTATGCCAATATCTGACATTTCACCATTTAAACGCAAGTTTAATGGAACTTGCAGCGCTCTACCTTTTTATAATATGTACTTCTAAGTCTTTCATTATAGAGAAGAAGCTGCATCCAAAGTTTTCAGTGTATTTGTATCAGGGCTGGTCCTACTGTATGTAGGTCTGTACCAGTATGCTTAAAATTAAGATATTGAAAGTGCATAACAGGGCTCGAAATAATGGAGAGGAAAGGGATGGAAAAAACAAAAAAAATAGTAATTGTAATACCTACTTTTTGTAAACATAGGAAAAAAATAACATTTTCTGATGGAGAATGGGAAGTGGCCTTTATAAATTATTCCAGTAACTGGTGCAGCACATTGTGGTGAAATGATAAAATTGTTTCCTTATCTATGACTTGTAATTCGAAAGAAAAAAAACACTTAATAGCTCTGAACACAGATTTTGTTTTTAGAAATCTGAGCCAGAGCCTATTATTTCAAACCCTGATATGTAAGATTATTTTGCTTACAAAAGTATTCCAAAATTTATGGGGAAATAACTTTTAACTTGTAATTAATATTATTTTGACACTAGGCTTTTGAAACTAATTTGTCTTTATATAGTTAAATAGGAATCTGTAATGTTTTTCTATTTTTTTAGGATTGGTATTTTATGTTGATCTTGATGAGAGAGCAATAGATGCTCTCAGGGAATTTAACGAAGAAGGCGCCCTCTCTGTATTACAGCAGTTTAAGGAAAGTGACCTGTCGCATGTACAGGTAAGGTAAGAGCTTCTCTGGTGTGAACAAATAGGCCCACAGTGTGGTGTGGTGCAACAAATACAAACAAACATGACTGAATTCAGATTTAATTTTTTTCCCCCACAGCAAGACTGTTTCCATTCAAATATTAAATGTACAATATAGCATTTGAGTATTAGTGCCTCGTATTAGCCTGATAATTGAAGTGCTGGTTTGTTTTAATAATATATCAAGTGATGTTATATTCAAGGTACTGGTTGGTTCTCAGGGTGTAGCTACGCTAAGTTGTTCAAGCATCAGTGATTTCAGATTATTTTTAATGCCTTCTGCTTCACTTCTTTCATTAATTATATCCACAGAACAAAAGTGCATTTTTATGTGGAGTTATGAAGACTTATAGACAGAGAGAGAAACAAGGAAACAAAGTACAAGAATCAACAAAAGGGCCAGACGAATCAAAAATTAAGGTAATATATATACAAGTATTAATAGGAAAGCAAATAAAAGTGGAACTTATTCTCAGGAGTAAAGAACTGTATCACAAAATGAATTCAAAATGAATTCCTCCATTAGTTCCTTTTATAATAAACTGTTACTGTTACAAATGTAGATTGGCAGAAATATCTAAAATAATCCATAAGATCATATTGCCTTCCAAGATAAATTTGCAACTTGTAAGATTTTTTTTTGGGGGGTGGGGGGAAGATGGGTGCTGAGAAGAGTTACCTAAATCTCGTTTTGTTTTGTTTTTCCAGTTTCTAGCAGCTGTATATTTAGCATAACATGCATAGCTGTTCTATTACATGCACTGTTTTAGTGCTAATGATAAAGATTGGAAATCCCCTCTCAAAATTTTTTCCAGTTTGAAGTGGAGAGCATAACAAGAATATTTACTAGAGCAAGACAGTTTCTTGACTTATTGTTAGTCAAGAACCTTTAGTAAAGGTTTTGTGTCTTCAGTAAAGTACATACGATAGAAGTAATGTTTCAGTCTGCCACGGAAAAATAACTGGCAAACTTAATAGCAAATACTCAATACTGCACCTTGGAGGCAATGAGGGGGTGTAGCATCTGGCACCCCATAACTGATCTCACAAAGGGCACAAAATTGGCCAAAGAATGTTAGAGAAGGATTTTGTTCACATTCAGCATTAATTCCTTTTATTTACTTGGCTTTGCTGTTCTTACTGTATTCTTGACGGCAGTATTTGTAGTGGGAAATGAAAGGCAAAGCAAAGGGCTGATGCAGCTTTGCCTGGGAGACACAGAGGCCCACACAACTGAAGGGCTGGCTGGCCCCATGGGACACCCTCCCCCCTCACCCCCCCACCCCAAACTGTATTAACAACTGCTAACTCTCTCTCTGTCTTGGAATTTTTCATTTTTTGAAATTTTATAACATTAAATTTAAAACCTTTAATTTTTTTTAAAAAATCTGAAATTATGCTGATTTAAATGTTAATATTAATTATATTGTGCACTACCCAGAGCCCTTCTCTGAGGGAGGTGAGCAGTTAAGAAATAATGAATGAATGAAAGAATGAATGAAAATAAGACATGAAATGCAATCCCACTAAGCATGATTGTGATGTTAGCATGTTAGAAACTCTTCAGTGGCATGTTAAGAGGAAATCTTATGTGAGAGATATAATTCCTTCGGTACCAAAAATGATGGGTTTTTTTATCCTTAGTTGATATTCTGCATTTCTCTTGCAAGCAATTAAATTTTGCAAATGTGTTCTAGAATACATTTGTGGAGAAAATACATTTGTGGGGAAAATGTTCTGTGAAGGGGTTCCTTGAGTGAAGTGTTGTTTTTCCCCCATCGATATTAAAAGCCACTTGCTCTCTTTATTTTTCTTTTAAAAATTCAGGCTTTGTTAGAACGAACTAGTTATACTTTGGATGTGACCACAGGACAACGGAAATATGGTGGTCCTCCCCCAGATACTGTCTACTCAGGATCTCAGCCTGGCATTGGAACAGAGGTTTGCATATGCAGTTTATATGTCTAAATAAGATTATTTTGACCTTAATTATACTAAATAAGCAAATAGATTACAGGTAGTCCTCATTACGACCGCAATGGAGCCCCAAATTTCTGTTCCTAAGTAAGACAGTTGTTAAGAGAGTTGTGCCCCATTTTACAGCCTCTGAATCAATATGGTTGTTAAGTGAATAATGTGGTCATTAAGTGAATCTGGCTTTCACTTTGACTTTGCTTATAAGAAGCCAGCTGGGAAGGTCACAAATAGTGATAATCTGATCCTGGGATACTACAACTGAAATAAATATGTGCCAGTGGCCAAGCGCCCAAATTTTATTTTCGAAGTTTTTATTTTTAACAACAAACAAGCGCCCAAATTTTTATCATGTGATCACTGGGATGCTGCAACAATCTTTAGCATGAAAACTGGTCATAAGTCCCTTTTTTCAGTGGTGTAACATTGAACAGTCACTAAACAAATGGCTGTGAGTTGAGACCTACCTGTATTTTATAAATTGAGACAAGTAAATCATTAAGTTAAATTTAGCTTTATCAAAGATATCATTACTAACTTTATGGAAATTATCCTGATGGAAATTGCAAAATAGATTTCTCTAGGAGGTACAGGTGGATTGTTGAATAGTAGTAAATTGCTTTTAACAGTAGAGATTATCAGAGTTAAAGTATGGGTGATGTAATGATAGAAACGTTTTTGAAAACTTTTCTGTTGTAAGACAGGTGACTATTCATTTTTGTAAACAAGTATTCAGTTTGTCACGTGGTTTATGATACTTGAAGCAGTTCACATTTATGACTATTTTCAGTTTCCTGTCTGTGCAAAGGTGCAAGATTCTTAATGAAGGTTGTACTGTGATACTGGATGTACTACATATGGCCTAAGAAAGCCCTGAGTGCAGCTCCCAGGGTGCCCCCAAATTAGGTTTAATTTGATAGGAGGAATAAATTAGCAATCAGAGAGAGAAAATCATATTAACTAGCTCTAATTAGCTCATTATAATGTTTCCAAGAAGAATGCATATTCATGACCAGATTAAATGCGCTAAAGTACCCTTTAGTTCTTGTTAATAAATATTAATTCTCCTTCAGGTTTTTGTTGGAAAAATTCCTAGAGATTTATACGAAGATGAATTGGTGCCACTATTTGAAAAGGCAGGCCCCATTTGGGACTTGCGACTCATGATGGATCCACTTTCTGGACAGAACCGAGGCTATGCTTTTATCACATTTTGTACCAAAGATGCAGCACAGGAAGCTGTTAAGTTGGTGAGTGTTCTGTCATAAGACCAAGTACAAAGCAAATTAGGAAAGTAAATGTTCAGCTTACAATTTAGAAACTGTTAGAGCAAAATACACTGTATAGTCTCACTTTTCTCCCTATTTTTTCTCCGTTAAACTCATCCTGCTTTGATGTTTTGATATGTAATATTAGCTGCAATATATAAGTTGCTTAATAATGAGATGAGTGGCATACAAATTTTAAATAAATAAATAGCAAAATATATTTTCTTGGAAACTCCAAATCTTAGAGTTTCTAAAATTCTAAATTTGGGGCATGCAAAAATGCAAATGCTACTAAATAATGTAATCATTTAATCAATATAGGCCAGTAGAATTTGCTGGTATCTGTATGTTAATAAGCTGAAAGTTCATGGGAAATGTTTAATTGTTTTTCTTTCAGTGTGATAACTATGAAATCCGGCCTGGAAAACACCTTGGTGTATGCATCTCAGTGGCAAATAATAGGCTATTTGTTGGATCAATTCCAAAAAACAAAACAAAGGAGAATATACTAGAAGAATTCAGCAAAGTCACAGGTAAGGAGATGCGGGCATGTGCTTCTGTAAAAAAAAATGGCTTCATTTTAATGTAGTTTAATTTCTAAATTCAGAGGCTACCAGATTCCTAGATAACTACAGGAGGCTTACAGATCTAAAAAATGCCAATAAAAATATGTATATAAAAAAGAAACATGGCTGACAGGAAAATAATACACATAATACAAATTAAATCATGTCTAAAAATAATGAAATGCTAAATAAACATGCAACCTTTATAAGCTTTCATAAACCAAAAGATTTAGGGGAATAATTATGATTCTGAACTTAATTTCAGGTTATATGTAGGTTTTCATATGAAAGTCTTGCTAATTTGGCAGAAGATGAACTACTTTTCTTCGTGAATTTTCAATCCATCACCAATCACAATATATTATTCTGTCTTCTATTTTTATTTTTTACTATTATAATTTTTAATGCTTTTGTTTGCTGATCTGTGTCTAATAAAAATTGATTTTCATTTTGGCATAATGGCAACAAAATAAATTGGCATTGCATTGTTCATACGAAGAACAATAATAGTTAAAATAGAGGTGTACACAAAACAGGAAACAAAGCAGCAGTGCTTGAATCATTCTGCTCAACAATTTTTGTTGCTTTATGTAGTTGGGGTGGGGGACTTTGAAACATTTTGAATATTTTGTTTTTTCTTCCAAACAAAACCTTTGCAACATACACATTTTCTCTAGCTTTGAACACCCAAACAGTTTGCTTCGAGGTTCTTTTCTGTAATTGGAAATCTTTAAACTATCAAGTTTTACTTTGAAAAACATGGCACATAGTTTTTGAACTAGAGACACTTTTCACACTTTTAAGACACTTTAGTTGTTTAGGGTGGATGGAAAGAGCAAGGACTGCAACTCCATTTTCCAAAGAATTGATATATTACACCAGAACTGCAAGCAATTGCATCTTTCATGAAGTGTGATGAGATGGGTAAACACTTTCATATTTTCTGTAGCAGAAAAGCTTGGAAAAATGGTTCGAAATAATATATCAAAATCTAGCCAGGCTACTTCAAGTAGAATTCCTACCAGTGATTCAGAAAAATATTTCCTTATTTTGAATACCTGATATTGGCTAGGTAGTAGTTAAGTTGACGAGTCTGCTTTTGCCACTTTCTGTGCTGGGTCAGAAAGTTTTTATCTCTTTGCCAGAAGCAAATGTATTGGAACAGTAAATAGAGTAAAACGAGCAACTTTGTAGAATCTTAAGAATTTCCTTTCGCTCTCCAAAAGGTATATTTCACAGTGCATTAGCTAAGCAAATCAAGTCTCCGGGATACTTAGTGGTTTATCTTGAAACCTCTTTTTTTAATTAGCTTTTCAAATGAGAAAAAGTTTTAGTCTTCCGTAATTTACCAGGTGCTTTGTTCTTATAGAGGGCTTAGTTGACGTAATCCTGTATCATCAACCTGATGATAAAAAGAAGAATCGGGGGTTCTGCTTCCTTGAATACGAAGATCACAAATCAGCAGCTCAAGCTCGACGCCGGTTGATGAGTGGGAAAGTGAAAGTCTGGGGAAATGTTGTGACTGTTGAATGGGCTGATCCGGTAGAGGAGCCAGATCCAGAAGTCATGGCAAAGGTAGTAAAGTAGTAGCTAAATCGGCATGATCTGAATGAAACTTCCATCAACAGATTTTTTTTTTTTCATTTCTGATTATCTCTAGAATACCGGTTTAGCATGCGGGGGGGAGGAGTGCCATTATGCATGTGTAGGTTTATCCACATAAACAACAATATAAGATTTGTATCTGGTAAAAATGAATTTCTAGGTGTTTTCAAAGAGGATTATTCTAAGCATCATGGATCCTTTTTTTCTGGATTACATCCTGAAGCACACCATTTCAGCAGCACTCCTATGTTTTTCATTAGTTCGAGAGCTGAGCTAGAAAGTAGAGTATTTCCTAATCAGTGCTTATTGTTTAGATGCCAGTTGTTAAATTGAGGGAAAGGGACATATTGTTATCTTCCAAATGAAATAGGGTGGAAAGGGTGGAAGGAAGGAAAGGGTGAAGAGTTTTACTGAACAATTTCTATAAACATTGTTTTTTAACTCTGTTTTTAGTTGCCACTGTTCATAGTGATGGTAAAGATAAGAGTTGAAAAAACTTTTATGATTGAGGTAGCTAGAAATCTTTCTTTAGGCTGTACTGTTCTATATGGGCTGTTTTGCATGACTGAATAGGTCCTGATTGTTTTCCAGAGCAGCATGACTGGAAACCACTTATCCAAGGTTTCTTTTTTAAGGCTCCTGTGACTTCTTTCCACCTGAACAAGCTAGAAAGGGAGCAAGGTTTTTTCCTCTAGTATCTTATAGCTTAGAAAAAGCTGTCAATCCTCACTTTGATGACACAATAATCTCAAAACAGTTCATTGCACTACAGAAGTTGCTGTGATTTCAGTAGTTTAATTAATAATTGTGTCTTGACTGTTTTGTCTAAGGATAATCTTAAGAACAAGGGGGATTTGGCCTTACAGACAGCTTAAAAATATTTTAAATAAATGCCAGTTTTCTTGACAGGTGAAAGTTCTATTTGTGAGGAATTTGGCCACTACAGTGACAGAGGACATATTGGAGAAATCATTTTCAGAGTTTGGAAAACTGGAAAGAGTGAAGAAATTAAAAGATTATGCTTTTGTTCATTTTGAAGATAGGGGAGCAGCAGTTAAGGTAGGTAACATTGTTATTAAGCAAAATTAGGTCACCCAGAACTTAGAGAATATCTTCTGAAAAGCAGTCTTTTTTTCCTCATATGGAGTAAGTTATAATTAGATGTCCTCTTATACATAGTTGGGCTACCATTTCCTTTCTGTGATTTATTCCTTGACTTTCTAAACAAGAAGCATGTTTCTACTATTGTGCTGGCTTTATTGCAGAAATAGTTATGGGCCTTAGATCTTCCTATGGAGCAGCCGTCCTTTACTTGCTTAGTACGAAAAGTTAATGCTAATACAACTCTTTTACACAGTTTCTCCAAGGGTAACATCCCGCATTGAACTCAGATTTATTCTGACAAAATATACTATATAGTTGCATAGTAATGGCCTTTTGGTAATTTTCATCTTCCATTTTCATTCCAATAATCAAAGTAATAACTTGACTTCTCTGTAGTAATGATAGAAAATAGAATATTAATGGATTAAGATAACTCTGTTTTGATTTCATGATACCTTCCTTTTATTGCAGATTAACATTTGCTAATTCCCCATCATAGAGGGGGAGGTGTCAGTAGTGAAAGATAAGGTTCATGAAGATCCAGTAAAAAGTGATTTATTGCTAATCATGTCTAAGCATAAGAATCTCCTTAACTAACAATTCAAGGGAGGTTGGACTTAGGTTCACTTATGGCTACATAGGGATTCTAGGTTGATCCCTCTTTTAACTCCATCCCCAAATTTTGCCACTCCTTCTACAAGTGCTGGGGGATATGTAGGGGCTAAATTGGGAAGAAAGGACAAACAATCTATTTTAAATTATTTGCGCATTAAAAGATGTTACCGTGGTTATACCGTTGGGGAGCTCCAGATTTAATTCCACCATCATCTACAGAAGTTCAGAGGGAGGTTCAGAGTTAATGACTGTTTGGGGGAATAATCAGCGAGGGAGATATATTGAGCACGTATATGGAATGTGGAATATATTAATATTACAGGTTTCTGTGTCTTGCTTTTTAAAAACTATTCTTTCTCACAACATGTTTTAAAATTTGTATAAAGCAAATGTTGTAGCTGCAAAATAGCATTTAGAGCCTTACAACTTCAAATTCAAGGAGAAGGCTTCTATCTCCTGCACTGCTTGCCTGTTTGCCCCAAAGTTTCTCTTCCTCTCAGCCTTGTATGTTCCCAAAAGGCAAGACAAGAATTGCAGACTTTCCTGTTGTATTGTTTCTTACAAGGGCCTGTGTATTGCATTTTCCTCCCTGGAAAGGTTTGCCACCTTATTTTGAAACAAAAGAGCTAAAATGAGAAATGCAGTATGTAAAAGTTGGGATTGTATAGGTTGGAAAAATATTTGGACTTGGGAACTGAAAGGTGGGAAACGCTGAAAGGACATTATGCTCTCAAATACAATTTAAATTTCTTTTTTTTCCCCTTTCAAAACAGGCCATGAATGAAATGAACGGAAAAGAGATAGAGGGGGAAGAAATTGAAATAGTGTTAGCCAAGCCTCCAGATAAGAAAAGAAAAGAACGCCAAGCTGCCAGACAAGCCTCTAGAAGCACTGCGTAAGTGTTAAAACCTCAGTAAACTGAAATGTAGCAATAAAGGCACAGTCAGATTTTTATCCCTTCCTCCAGATGGGACCCTTAATTTGCTCAGTCCCATCTACTGAAATTTACCCTGACTTGTAACAAGGCTGGAGAATGGTACAAGTTAAGGTGTAATAATTGGTATATGTCAGTGCCAACAAGACAAAAATATCCACGCTTACTGCTCCTTCCATGGGCTGGAGGTAGAAGCCAATTTTGTCAGATGGCTTAGAACTGCAGCTGTAGTCATCCGTCAGTATATTTAAAAGCAAATCTAGTGTAGTCCTCCTGGGAAGTTCAGTGGAGAAAGTCGTCGTCTGCTTAAATCCGAAAAGCCATTCTCTTTCTAAATTGGATTCTTTAAATTAGAAAAAAGACATGAGACAGATGTTGTTGAAAAAAACACACAATAAATGTGTTATTATTTTTCCCCCTCCTCACTAGGTATGAAGACTATTATTACTATCCTCCACCTCGTATGCCACCTCCTATTAGAGGCCGAGGTCGTGGAGGGAGAGGCGGCTATGGCTATCCCCCAGATTACTATGGCTATGAAGATTATTACGATGATTATTATGGCTATGACTATCATGACTACCGTGGTGGCTACGAAGATCCTTACTATGGCTATGATGATGGCTATGCTATAAGAGGAAGAGGAGGAGGAGGAAGGGGTGGGCGAGGTGCACCTCCACCACCTAGGGGGCGGGGAGCACCACCACCAAGAGGTAGAGCTGGCTATTCCCAGAGGGGGGCGCCCATGGGACCACCAAGAGGAGCCAGGGGCGGGAGAGGGGGCCCTGCTCAGCAGCAGAGAGGACGTGGTGCTCGTGGAGCCAGGGGCAATCGTGGGGGCAACGTGGGAGGCAAGAGAAAAGCGGATGGGTACAACCAGCCTGATTCCAAGCGCCGTCAGACCAACAACCAGCAGAACTGGGGCTCGCAGCCTATCGCTCAACAGCCGCTTCAACAAGGTGGAGACTATGCCGGTAACTATGGTTACAATAATGACAACCAGGAATTTTATCAGGATACATATGGGCAGCAGTGGAAGTAAGACCAATAAAGAGGGCATGGGAATATTGACAAGATAAGAATTTGGCTATAGTCCTACATCCTTCCAAAAAAATTGGCTTATTGTTTCATCCTTCAATAGTGATTGGCTGCCATGTGTATTGGGCTGAAGAATCACTCGATTATGTATATATTCAAGTCTTTTTTTCCCTCCTTTTCTCATAAATGCACTTGGACATTACTGAGCTTGCAGATTTCCCAAACATAGTTTGGGGATAAAATGCTTTTTTATCGTTTTAGGCTTCATTTTAGCAGTTTATCAGCAAGGATGGGCAGCACTGTTAAATCATGATTTTTGCAAACCTTCTGTTTTTGGACAGTTTCTTTTCTTTCTTTTTCCCTCTTTTCTTTTTGGATTTAGGATAGATTACGTAGGCTTCTGCTGTACATAAAATAAAGCTAGTACTTTGTCTCCGTAGTTTTAAGGAATTTAAAAAAAAAAAAGTTTTCTTGTATTGGAAATAACATGATTGTATGTTTTGCATTCCTAGAAGTAGGTTAACTGTGTTTTTAAATTGTTATGACTTCACACCTTTTTGAAAATCTGCCCTACAAATTTGTTTGGCCTAAACGTCAAATCCGTGGCAATTTGTTCCTTGATGTGATTGTATTTCCAATTTCTTGTTCATGTAAGATTTCAATAAAACTCAAAAACCTATTCAAAACATTACCTATTTCAAATTCCATTGTGTCCTAAAAGATTATTTTATTGGTAATCCTTGCAAGAAACATTAAAAAAAACTGCCTATGTGAGTGATCAAATTCATGAAAAATTCTTGCGATTTCCAACATCTGGCATTGGTGGCATGTGAGTCAGTACTAGGTCCAGTAAAATCAAATTGAAATGTATTAATTGGTACTGTAATCTGGTTGCATTTAACAGTGAATTGGTTGCTTTCTTAACAGCTTTAAGTACATCTGAAAACTTGCATTTAAGCCCTTTTCAGTCAGTTGCAAAAGATACCGTGTATGAAGACAATCCATAAATTTAACCTATCTCACAGTATTCATATGGATCATATCCAATAACTCCAGCACAATTGGATAATTCTCAACTATAAAATAATAATAATGTTCAGTTTTACCTTAAAGAGACTGATTCGAACAAAGATATTAATTTAGTTGTAAATTTTTAAACAAATGTAAAATCTTGATGCTAGAGATAACTAATATTAAAAACAGATTTCACATCTGATTTCAAATGCAAATTTCCATTAATTGGGGATATTGCTAGTTTTTTTCTACTCAGGCTATTCTATTCATTTTTTGTGTGAACCATTTTGTATTGATTTTTAACATGCTTGATTCTCATCTCATGCTTGTTTCATCTGTTGTCTTTGCACTTTTCTAAGTTGCTGTGATGTGCATTTGGGATTTTTTTGGCAGGGGGAATTAAAACATTTGAAATTTATAAGATTGGCTACCTTGAATTTTCGTAATAAATAGCCCCTTATTTATGGATTTGCATTTAGTTAGATCATAGAGATTTGCATTTGATTAGATCATACAGAGGGGGAAAAAACCAAGTAATTAGATTTGTCTGACCCTCTTTCAGGCTTTTTCTGTTGAGAAGAATTAAGTGTTTTCTTCCTACATTTTGTTGAGGGTCAAGAAGATAATTTCTTGGGTTTGTAATTCATTGATTTGAGAGAAGAAAATATTTTTGAAAGTTGTTTTTTGAAGGTCAGCCAGTTAGAGTGGGGAAGCTTTTTTTAAAAAAAACCCACCCTAAATCCAAACTATGTTTTTTTTTCTAATAGAAACTGACCAATATTATGATCCAGTGAAATATTGTAGCTGCTAGTCTTATTATAGATGTACTTATTTTTGTCTGAGTGAAGTTACAGGAAGTACATACTGAGACTTATATGGCTTCATGGCTGGCTTTTTAATAATTTTTAAGTCTTTTTAAAAAATGATTTATCAGTTGTTTAGCAGTCATCCCCTGCCACCCCAGTTGAATGGTATGCTGATCTATGAAACAAACTCTGAGCTTTAAATATATGCCTCAATTAAAAAAAAAAGTCATTAGAAGTTCTTTTTATTATTATTATGGATCATAAAGACTTTCTAGAAAAACAAGCAGCAGTTTTGTATTGATATAAAAACATCTGAGTCAGAATTTAGAAAGAATTGGATTTTTAATACACACATGTTGTTCTGTAATGAGAAATCTTGTGATGTGTTTGTTATTACCAAAATGCTAAGCTGTGAAAATCCTTAAAGCAAATGCAATTTTCTGTACTGTATTTTTACCTCTGGTAGCCCTTCCAAGTAGCATAACATACATACTTGGCCTAACTTGATTGGTAACACAAACTGCAGTTCCACCTGTCCAGTAAATATCATTTTAGATTTTATATTTTAAAGACAGAAATATATTGCCTAAATATTTCAGTGGTATCCATATTCAGTCCAAGAGATGCTAAAGGTTTTTCAGATTTTCAATTATGCAATGCACTATGGCTTAAAGAAATGCACATTTTAGAGCCTCTTTTACTAATAACTAAAAATTCAAGTGCAATCCAAAATATATTTTGTCGATCTGTGTCTTGACCTTTGTTCATCAAAGCAATCCAAGGGAAGAAAAACTCCTATTATACAAGAATCTCATGCCTTTTTGTCTTCAAGATGGGGGAGGAATCATGAAATGGGATATTTGATCACTCATTTATAGCAGTTGCTTCAATGTCATTATTGACACCAAGGTGATTTTGAAAAAAAAACTGTTGCCAGAGTTTTGGTACTTCAAAAACTTTTACCCAAAGATTTATACAAATTCTTAATTGTTTAGATCCCACATTGCCTTGTTAAATGAGTTTCAACTCAAAAGTTAACCAACTTGCTGAGAACCATTCTTCATGAAAGGAAATGTCTAAAAACGTTTAAAGCTTTAATCATTGTTCTAGACTTATAGTTTTTTGGGTAGATTTGGGTGTTTTTTTTTCCTAAGTGATGATACCAACTATAGTAACAAACTGTTTGAAAGTATTTCTTCAGAATTTCTGTTAAAATCCAAAAGAATTGGAAGAATATAAGTTTAACAATCCACTGTGAATGACTGCCTCGTTTATCAAAGCCTGTTTATATTTTCACTCTGCATCTGTATGCCTTTCTTTGAACTCATTTGCATTTTAAACATTAAAAACATGCTTATAAGTAAAGCTATAATGAGCAAAGTGAGGAAATTATGAAAATATCTTCATATACAAGGGAGATCTTACAATTGGAGTCTTTATGCAAAAACAAACCTTGGAACTTCATTATGGCTTTTTTTGCTGTGCATGATTTGGTTTCTTATAATTGTGGACAAATGAGCCAGAATTTTTCAAAGCTTGCATATAATCTCTCGATCTAAATTTGGATAGTTTGTGCAAGAAGTATTTCATAAAATATTAACAGACAAAACTAAGGTTTGTCTCTGAATTGGATTCTTAAGCCTCAAAAGTTTTGTAAGACCAGAATTATAAACGGTGATTCCCATTTCTCTCAAACTGAAGGTTTCTCTTAACTTAGGACAACCATTGAACTGTTTTATATAGCAAAATTTGATAGTCTTACCAAATACAGACTGGCTCATCAAGAGGCATGTGATTTTTTTTGTCCCAAGAGGCATATTGTTGGAATGGAAAAACTATTAAGACTGTAAAAAAGGAGGTTACCAGAAGCTCTGAATGACCATTCGGAATATATTGCTCTATCTACGTTTTCTAATGTTATCCAGAAATCTGCCAGTGTAACTTCTGTTTTAACTCCTTCCTTTTATTACCTGACTATCAGGGAAGCGTGGTTGAGGCTGCCCTGACTTGACATGTCACGATGTCGACTTGCTAGGTGGGGTTCGCAGGGACAGTAACCATTGGAGTTATCGGTAAGAGAATTTTCTTTCTCATTTTTATTTTGAAATAAGAGCCTGCCCTCCCTCCGCCCCCTGGGGGGGTGATGGTATTGCTACTCCCCTCTCCTTCAGGGACCTTAAAATCATTTTGTGGGGAAAGGGGTCTTTTTTCTTTTTTTTATAGATGCCTGGCTAATTATACGTGAGAGGTGAGTTTGAATATGATCCTGCCAATTCTGACCTATGCATAGATTTGAGTAAGTGCCTAAGAGTGTAAGGGGAAAATTCTTCAGGGGGCTCTACTTCAGGTGAAAAGTTTTTTTGTAAAGCCCAGCTAAGGTTTGACATCCGTAGTTAAAATGTCCTGAAGTGTACTGTGCTGACAGATGTTTACTCTTTCCCCAATAAAGTGGCCAAACCTTTTTGAAATATTCATGGAGGCATGAGTAGGAAAAGAGCTGTCATCACATTAGCCTCTGTTCCGAGTGGGATTGTTTCGTAATAGTCCCATTGTTCAAATAACAAAAAATCCAATTGCAGGTTGCCCTTGACTTATGACCACAAACGACCCCAATGTTTTCTGTGGCTAAGCAAGACATTTTAAATGAGCTTTGCCTCCATTTTTATGACCTCTTTTGCCACAAGTTATCTAGTGAATCACTGCAGTTCTTTTAAGTTAATCTGGCTTCTCCATTGTCGTTGCTCGTCAGAAAATCACAAAAGGTGATTGCATGACCCTGGGACACTGCAGCTGTCATAAATATGAACCAGTTGACAAGCATCTGGATTTTGGTCACATGACCAAGGGGATGCTGCAGCAGTCATAAAAGTAAAAACTGGTGATAAGTCACTTTTTTCAATGCCATAATAACTTCAACCAGTCACTAAATGAATGTTGGTAAGTCAAGGACTACCTGTATGAAAAGCCTGTTTATGTTACTTTTTGAATAGTGAGAAACATGGAACACATCTGAAATGATACTGCACAAACTTTTATAACACTCCCCCTCTCTTTATTTTGTCATGTTTTGAATATATTTTAGTCATGAACACCATTACTTTCAGTTAGATAGTCTTAAAGCGGTTATGAAACAAATACACTACTTTTCAAAAGTGACCTTGGCTTTATTTTTTTCACAAGCCATTGTGGGGGAAAGTCTGAAGTTTGCAACACTGGTATTATATCAAGAATTATAGTTACAGTTTTTCAATCAGTAATGTTTTTTATTTTTATTTATAACACTCTTTCCCTCACCTATTTGCCCCTCAACAACAACCCTTTGAGTTGGGTTGGGCTGCTTTACATTTATCTAGTGGATTTTGAGTTAATAAAAGATGGGCTGCATTCTCACATTGCATTAAGTTATGATTTTATTAAATATAGTTTATTGAATGAAGCATAATCAATCAATGGAGCTAATATATTACCTCAGAGACATAAACCATGATTTACAAATCAGAGCAGCTGTTTTTATCAAATAAGCAAACCATATTTTTAATTTCCATTGAGCAAAATAGTTCAAGCTTTGGCATTTCTAGCATATTTTTACCTCTTTGGCTATTTCAGCAGATCCATTTCTGAATTGTCTTCTCTGGGGATGGGACCAGTGAACAAGTTTGTGCTGAGGCATTTTCAAAACACTTGTAATATGAAAAAAGTGTTCTATCTGAAAACAAAATAAAATCTCTGGAAGATAACTGGTCTGGCTTCCAGATATTCAAGTACTTCTTCTCCCCAAAATAAAATGAATGCTTACATAACCACAGTAAATTGGTGTTGCAGCAATTGATAAATCTAGGTGGAAGAAACAGACTCTCCAAGTGCTG